TATAATTAATTATATAACAATATTTAGATGGTAAGAATCATAGAAAAAATTGATTATTAGAGATCATGAATGGAGATGCTCTAATTCGTCCATCTACGTCTCTGGCATCTTTCCGCTCAAGTCCAGAAGTCCAGACTTTCTCCAAAAGCCATCCGTCTGCCTGCTCCCTTCCGACCATGGCCGGCGTCGCTACAGGTTCCATTCTATTTCTTCTCATCTCTCGCTGCGTGACTGTGATACCTCGCCACCGCCATATCTCGTCTTCTCCTCCACAGCTTTGACTGAAATCGAGCAGGGCCGAAGATCTGTCCTCGACGGCCATCGCCGATGTTGGTTCGGTGATCCTGGAGCGTGACCTGGATACTCTGTTGGATATACCGCCAGTGATAGATCTAGAGTTATGCACCGCGGAAGGCGGCAGCTAGGGTTACATGATGTGGCGGTCGGTTATGGAGGCTAGGGGTGAGGAGCGGTGGGCTGACAGTTAGGATTACGTGTTCGGTGGTGGGCTGGTCGTGACGGAGCAAAGGCAGTCCTCGGTAAAGTGCCCCTGGTGCTAGATCCGTCGTCCTAGATGCACTCCGAATTGAGGCCGCCGTGGCTGGCGGGGTGTGACAAAGGTTCTCTGGAATGTGGTGGTGGTTGTATGGGTAGGTTTTGGGCAAACTTCCTGGAGAAGACCCACTGCCGGTGGGGTAGCAGTTTTACCGGGGTGTGAGTGTGCTGGGGAGGGGGATAGAGAGGGAGGACGGTTAGCCACCTAACCTGGAGGCAGGTGGTCGGAGATGTGAGACCGGTGGTTGCTGGGGGCTGTAGTTGGTGGTGGTGGCCGAAGAGGTGCAAGGGCGAGATGTCAGCTATGGGGCGGTTGGTCACTCGGCGGGAAAGAGTCATTGCGATCTACATGTTTCACGTCAAAGAAGGGTGACATCCAAAAGTAACATAAATATCTGACAGTGACATATAATAGTGACATAAAAATTGATAGTGACATAAAAATTACAGTGACATCATGATTTTCCAAATATGCAATATTTTTTGTCACATTTTTGTCTTTTTAAAAAAATGGTCACTTTTGTGTAAATCAGCTGTAATTTGGTAATATTAAGGAAAACAATTTTGCTATAGGTACCCCATACTTACCCCATTTCCTACCTCATATAAATACCTCCTTTTTACCATCCCTTTTACCCTCTTTCCAAAAACCCTTCCCCCCTTCCCCACTTTTCTTCTCCTTCCCTCTCTCTCTCTCCTCCATCTTTTCTTTTCACGCAGCCCCCCTCATCCTCTCCCCTTTCTTTTTCTTTTCTCCGAAACTTGATTTCTTCTCTATTTCAAGATCTCTTCCCATTAAGTCTTCTCATTTTTACAATCTTTTCTCCCTCCAAGCTTCTTCTCTTGCTTCTCTCCTCTTCTGCCTTTTTTTCGTTTCAAATGGAAGAGTTACAATAATCGGACGAAGGGGAGAAGCTCGGTGACGTGGGGAGTTGTGTCTAAGGTAACCATCCCTTCTCAAATCATGAGTTACGTACTCCATTTACGATTTTTCTTCATGTGCGTTTTTTGTTTTTATTTTTTCCTTTTTTCGATTTTATGTATATTATGTATGATATAAAAGTGAATAAATGATTATTTTGTTTCATTGTAATGATTTTGAGGTGTTACCTAATTAAAATTTTAGTGTAATTTCTCTATTTCATTTTATGCCCATAACATGTTTGTAGAAATTACTCAATGAAGTTTTTGTTGAAGTTCAAGATTTTTTTTCCTTTTTTGTACCTCAATGTTTAATGAGTATTTTTATGGATTTCCAATTTAATATGATATAGTAATTTAATTGATGTTTTGGAAAAGAGTGTGTTGTTTTTTTGTAATTTGTTTGTATTTTGTTTGGCGGACAGACAATTTAGAATTGCAGTGCCTGTCTAGCCTAAAGTGAACACGGTTTTGTCTTAAAGTCTGGGCCAATTAACTACTCTCTGTCTTATAGCCAGACAAATTTTGTCTGGTCCAGACATTAGTAGTCTGGGCCAATTAACTACGCTCTGTCTTACAGCCAGACAAATTTTGTCTGGGCCAGACATTAGTAGTCTGGGCCAATTAACTACTCTCTGTCTTACAGCCAGACAAATTTTGTCTGGGCCAGACATTAGTAGTCTGGGCCATTTAACTACTCTCTATCTTACAGCCAGACAAATTTTGTCTGGGCCAGACATTAGTAGAGTGGGCCAATTAACTACTCTCTGTCTCACAGCCAGACAAAAGTTGGCTGTGCCAGACAACAGTTGTCTCTTCCAGACAAATTGATTATGCCTCACATATGCTATTTGTACCAAATATGTGTTCTGACTACGTGTTGTGTATTAATCGTAGGTATTCACTTAGTAGAGTGGGCCAATTAACTACTCTCTGCGGTATTGTCTGTATATATAACCACATTAACAATTCATGTTTGGTTTTCACCAAATTCATTTGTACATTAACAAATACAATCATATCTCCGAACACTTTTATATAACCACATTAACAATTACTAAACTCATCAAAATGTACTATAAAATAACTAAACTCGTCAAAACAACCCACAAATATACATTCCCACATTAATAACAATTCCTATGCTTCCTCCACCTTGTTCCACATATTTGCATACTCGCAACCTGGAATCAATGACTTTTCCATTTACAGGTGCTCTGCAAAGGAAGCCACCATCACTCATTCTCCCGACCTGTAGACAGACAACTCTGAATAAAGACCAGACATTTTATATCACATTACAGATAATTTGTTGGAATAGATATGTAGATAGACAGACTATTTTCACATGATTATATATAAAGGCCACCATCACTCTTTCTCATACTCATGATGTTATCTCAGCTGTTGGAGTGCCATGTCGGTGCTATGTGATTATATATATTAGTCATTTTTACTTTTCAATTCCATAATGCTACGTCATAATCTGGACCCTTCTTAATTACTTGCCTTAAAATGTTATTCCTTCTTTAAACCATGTCATATCTACGGAGTATACATACCCATAATAATTTAATAACTTCATTAGCTCCCATTCATTACTTTAGTTTCTTTGAATTTTATACTGACCAGCCTCACAAAAGTTTATCATTTTTTATGTTCTTGATCCACCGTGACAGACTTTGAACAATATTTTAGTTAATTTATTTGGGTGAAAGTCAAACTTTTAACATTTTTCATCAAGAAAATCAAAGAATGGGATAATAGAGTCACTAGTAAGCTAATTATAGCTTACCAGGCAGCGAAGAGCTAATTTACCCACTTCTCGCAATTAAGCTGGGTATCAACTTTCCAATTCAAAAGATTTAGAAATTAGGCGACATTATATTCTCCAATTTTGATGTATTTATAAAGTGCAATTTCAATCTTAAAGTTTTCTAATTCACTACTACCTTCCTACACATTTTTCAATCATCAGAAGACAATCATTTCAGAATCTCCTGCTCCTCAACCATCTGCAGCCAGTTTCTATATGGTGAGAAGAGATTTCCCTTTGTATGTATATCTTGAATTAATTAGGTTTCTTCTTCTTAATTTCCCAATATGATTGTGCTATAAGTCAAAGTAATCATGCATTGTTAAGCTTATTCAGAATCTTCTTCTCTTTGTTACCTTAACTCAATTCAAACACAAAAGAAATGTCCGTACATATTAGAAACACCAAATAAAACGAAGAACTCACAATAAAACAACCTACACACATTCGGTTTATAAAATTAATACACATCTCTGTTTTCATTCCTAAAAGATTACCTCAATTAAGTTTAAAGGTAATACACGGTACACACATTCTCAATCTAAAAAAATCTCAAAACTTCCGAAGTCGCTTAACACTTACTTCCCTAACCCTCCCAACACCCATCCAAACACAACATTTCCTTTAACAGTTAGTCAGTTAATGTTTTTGATTCAAAAACATTGATTACTTTAAATTCTTCATTTAGCATATACATTTATCCATCCCATTATAATAAAATTTAGAGACTAACATTTTTATTATAAACTACCAAATGCATAATACTCAAGTCATATAGTCAATAAAAATAACTATATCATAATTTGAATTGGGAAAATAGAAAAATAGGATCTAAAACCCATTAACATAAAAGGACAAAAAAAGTCTTGAATATGAACAAAAATTTCATTGAGACATTTCAACAAACATGTTATGGACATCAAATAAAATAGAGTAGTGGGAATAAAAAACTAATAACTAGCATCACAATCTCTTACAATCTTCAAAAAATGCAATTATTCAATGTTATAGCATACAAAATATACATAAATTCAGGAAAAAATAAATATAAGCTCCTAAAATGCATAAGAAAAAATAGGAATAGATCACCGCAATTACGCCCATATGTCTCTAATAGCTTCTGCTTGCAAAGACTACCCTAATTTGCTCCACTTGTACATGAATTACACCCCCTCCACCTCTCCCTCTTATGCTTTTCCCGGACCCGTCGTAGAGAGAATAATTCATCTTTTTATTGTTCATGATAGCTAAATTAAAAGAGAGAAGGGGATATTGTGCAGAAACTAGAGAGAAGAGATGAAGAAGTTAGTTATCTAGAGAAGAGGCGTAAGAGCAAGACGGTAGACAAAAAAAGAGACCGAGAAGTGAGAAAGGAGTGGGTTGGGGGTCGGTTGAAATGAGAACAAAGTGAACTCAGTGCCGGTTTTGATTATGGGCTGGTCTGCGACGCGAGGAGTGAGGCCGGTGGCCGGATATGACAGGGTTAATTGGGGAGGTCTGCGACACGAGGTGGTGAGGTCGGTGAGGGGTTCGATTTTTTGAAACTTCATGGGAAGGGGAAGGCTGGAAAAGAGGGAGAAATGGAAAAGAGGGAGAAATGGAAAGAGAGATGAGGGGGTGAGGGTAAATTTTTGGGAAGATATTTATATGAGGTACAATTTGGGGTATAATTTGGGTACCTATAGCAAAATTCTAAGGAAAAAGCCCATTTTATTTCTGGGATTCTGGGCTTGCCTTCTGTTCTACGCGCTGACTTGTCGCCATCATCGCGCCCTGGACGTCGACTACCACGCCTTTTCTTTCTCCGGCGAGGCGAGTAACTCCGGCGACATATCCCTAGTGCCAGGACGTCTAGTCTGTGACTAGGCGACGCCGTGACAATCATGCTTTCAGGCTTTTACCCTTTGAACAGACGGCGCCGACCCTGTTTTAATATAATTGTTTATCTATTTTAACATATTTATAATTGTTTAGTTATAAGATAAATAATACCAACAGTTCTCGCAGAAGTCCAGGTCCTTCTTCCTTCCCCTGAACTGCTATACGCGAGGCGACGAGTCTCAGGAGATTCCAATATGCAAGACTGCTACTCCACTGTGTGAGAAACCGTTAGAGCAATTTCATGTAAGTTATTTCTGGTAATATCACTTCTTAATAGTATTTTGGATGACTGTCGGGAACCTTAGAAAGGCAATGAACGGAGACTGCAAGGTGTTCTGCAAAATGCCTCATTGCTAGAGATTGATGTTGTTCATATGCTCAACTTTCTGTAAACGCTATTAGTCAGTGATGTTCGGCTTTCTTATACCGAGTATGTTATTAGTCAGTAAAGTGCGTGCGAGTTCATAAAATAATGCATTGCTAGTTTTTGACACTTCACTTACCAAAGGAAAATATAAATGTGTAAACATCTGCCAAATGTTATTGGTTTGTACTTTGCACGCATACCATAGGCTATAGGTGGTTTTATCATGATGTTAAATTAAAACTAATCATCTTTTTTTCTGGTTTACTCATCATTATAGTCATTCATCATCATTACCCCAGTGCCGCAAAGGCTCCCAGCCTCTCACCTACGGTGGGGTAAGGGGGTCAGATGTACGCAGTTTTAATTTTACCCCTGTAGGCCTGTACTAAAGCACCAAGAGACTATGTCCGGATGACCCATGGTGAAAATCGTGTCGGAAATTATATGAGCTGGTTGCTTCATAACAAAGAAGCGAAGACCGTTTAGTGAGTCATTTTGCTTTATTCCATCATATTCACAAGCCAAAAAATAGTGAATCCCTGGCTCCATTGCAAATAATGGAAATTTACTATAGATGGTATTTTGCCAAGGCATATACATCACTCGGAGTCAATTGAAATGTTTAAGCTTTGTTGTTGAATTGCCATCAAGGTATCAGATAGATCATTAAAAAATTCCATTACTTCCATAACATGTAACAAGAAATAATATTAAAGTCTAGTTATCCATGCTAATAGTTCTATAACTAATGTAATGTGAAATTTTCCCTCCACTCTGATGTATCAGAAATAGTATGGAGTATTTTCAATCATGTTGCATGTTCTTTTCTATACATTTAGTCAAACATCAAAACAAATTGGATTTTCATTTAAAGAAAGTTAGGTAGTGTTATTCATTTTACCAAACTCAAATACTACAACCTCCCTGAAAAAGTTCTTTTTGCTACAGTTTTAGATAACACAGTCTTTTACTCTGAATAGTGATGGTTTTATAAAATAATGTGGTGCAGTTCTCCAAAAAGCCTTTATTGGATGTTGAGCACAGAGGATGATAGTTCAAACATTGTCACCATCCAAGCTCAGGAAGCTCTTACGCCCTCTTTGTTCCTCTTTCTATTCTTCTCCAAAACCTGTAGCTAACTGCATCCCAGAATTTCAAATAACCCAACCTATTTATTCCCAAAAATCAACCGAAAAAATATTCCCACCCTTCTTCTTTAGAGGCTTCTCTGCACAGTCTTCCTCAGTTTCGCTCCTCAGCAGAGACGGAAACTACAATGAGGCCACTTCAGAAATCATCGTTATCTGCCCTGGCTGTGGTGTTAGAATGCAGGACAGTGACCCTAGGCAACCTGGTTACTTCATCAATCCATCAACTAAACCCCTCAATTATAAGACACCTATTGACAGAAATCCGATACTTGATGAGGCAGAGATCTCGAGTTCCCTCAAGAAAGGGTTTTTAAATGAGCCAGTAGAGGCAGAAGATGAAGAAAGTGTTGAACTAAATTTGAATTTAAAGTCCCCTGAGAAGCCGGTGGTTTGTGCTAGGTGCCATAGCCTGAGACACTATGGGAAGGTAAAAGACCAGAGTGTTGAGAACTTGTTGCCGGATTTTGATTTTGACCACACGGTCGGGAGGAGGTTGGTGTCAGCGAGTGGGACAAGAGCTGTGGTGCTTATGGTGGTGGATGGATCAGATTTTGACGGGTCATTTCCAAGGACAGTGGCAAAGCTGGTTTCAAAGACAATAGATGAGAACTCTCGGGCATGGAAAGAGGGGAAATCTGGGAATGTGCCTAGGATTGTGCTAGTAGTGACCAAGATCGACCTTTTACCTAGCTCCGTATCACCTACTGGGCTTGAACATTGGGTTAGAACAAGGGCTAGATATGGTGGTGCGACCAAGTTGACTAGTGTACATTTGGTGAGTGCTGTCAAGAACTGGGGAGTAAAGAATTTGGTAAACGATGTGGTAGCATTGGCTGGTACAAGAGGGCATGTGTGGGCAGTGGGTGCACAGAATGCCGGGAAGAGCACACTGATTAATGCTATAGGGAAGTGTGTGGGTGGGAAGGTGACTCATTTGACCGAGGCACCTGTTCCTGGAACCACTTTGGGGATACTGAGAGTGGAAGGGGTACTCCCAAAGAATGCCAAATTGTTTGACACTCCAGGCCTGCTTCATCCTCATCAGATTTCAACAAGGTTGACTAGGGAGGAGCAAAAGCTTGTTCATATGAGCAAGGAGTTAAAGCCTAGGACATATAGGATCAAGGTTTGGCAATCTTTACCCACCTAATTGTTTTTTAACATTTCTTTTCCTTCAGTTTGATTTAGTGAGACTCTAAAAATGGTAGGGAATAGAAAAAAGTTCTAAATAATTTGTTCTTTGATGCTTGGTTTATCTTGAAAAACATGAAGGAAAATAAAATAGTACTACCTCCATCCCTCAATGTTTGTCCTACTTTGACTTTTGCTGTCTTTTAGGTAGACGTTTGACCGTAATTATCTATTAATATATACCTATAAAATCTATAATAAATTGACATTTGAATAATACATATTATAAAGAATCACATAAAATAATTTTTTAAGGTTAAAATATTATTAATTTTGAGTAATTAGCGGTCAAAGTTTAACAAGTTTGACTCAAAAGGTCAAAGTAGGACAAACAATGAGGGACGGAGGGAGTATAAAATATGTTTTGAAACTTCTTAGAATTTCACATTTATTTATATTTCGTATTCTTTATAAATTAAACATATTCAAATAGAATGGTTTTGAATGGACATTTAAAATTGGTATATTGAGTTTCAAGCGAACTTTTTTCCTCACATTTCTCTCCTCCCAAATATTCCTGTGTTTTCCTCCCTGTATTTTCTTTCGCATTTTCTGGATTCCAAGCAGACCCTTGTTGTTTTTTCACTTTGGCAACTTATAAAAATCTCAGACTTCCAGTATACTTTCATGTTTATATTATCTGGTTTTGACAGGTAGGACATTCAGTTCATATTGGTGGGCTCATGAGGCTCGATGTAGATGAGTTGTCAGTGGATTCTGTATACATTACAGTCTGGGCATCTCCTCTAATTCCACTTCATATGGGAAAGACAGAAAATGCCAGCACCATGTTTGAAGAACATTTTGGCAATCAGTTACAGGTACCACTTTCTTAGTGAATTCGAAAGTATTCCATTTCATTTGGGATTCATAACAGGTGGGTAACAAACTGGTATTTAATTGATATGACTTTTAGTTTACCGCTTCATTATTTCTATTTTTTCCCCACCTGGTTTAGACCAAAAAACCAGAAAGGCTTTATGGGGTAGGGGTCAGGAAACACCGTACCAGTTTATTAATAAAAAGGAAGGTACATAGAGTAGGAGGGCCAAACCAAAGCCTACTCTAGAGAAAATACATAGGGGTAGCTAATAGCATCAAATTTTAAGATACCAACAAAATGATTGAAATGGTGATTCTTGGTATTAATAGAGGTGTTTCTATATGCTAAAGTACTCAGCTGCTCCATTAATCTCGGGATTAACGTGGGACGTGGGTAATGGTAGTCATGTAGCTTCCTTCTGATTTCTTGGATCCGAGGCTAGCATTTCCAGTGTTGAGCGGACAGACCTGCAATTCCTTCATAGATATCTCTCTATTATCTACTTCAAGAATAAAATTTGTCAAGTACTCAAGTTTATCTTCTTGATGTTTATAATAGTATCGAAGACAGCATCGTAGGAGGCTAAGGTGTTGTCACAATTGTGAGTGATGTATGTCATGTGTCCCATGTAGTTGCCCAAACTATTACGAATGAGCGCTGCTGTTCTAATCAAGTTAGGCGCAAGGCTCCTGGTTGCAATGTTTATCTTCTGGTAATTGCTGGGAGGCATAGACCAGGACTTGAACTGAGGATTATGATTAGTTTTTTTGGGCATAGCTGTGCATATGTTAAAGGGTGTATGGGCAGTGGCAGTGATGAAAGGTTTGATATTCGAAATGGCAAAAATATCAGCTTTTATAGCTTTGATGATTGCCTCAGGAAGAAAGGCCTTTTTGTTATCATGGATAAGCTTATTACGAATCTTCCAAAGGTTCCAAGTGACAATATTAGGAAGGACATAGTTGAGGTCAGCAAAACCCTTGTAATCGGTATACCAACCCCAAACATAGTTACGTGCAGAAAAAACAGTATTTGGTTTGTAGTTGAAAATTGTTTCAAAGTGTTCCCAAACCGCTCTGCTAAAGTGAAAAAATGATCGATAGTATCACTATTGGGGCTTATCGGACATTTAAAATGGTCACAAAACCCGAATTGCATAAGTTTGTCCTCAAAGGGAAGAAGACAATTTTCCATTTTCCAAAGAATGAAAGAATTTTTTTGGGGTCCTGCTGTTCCAAAGAATATTTTTTGGGGTCCTGTTGTTCCGCTTCATGATCTCTATTATAGACATAAAGGGCCGAACCCAATAGGGATATGAAACCTAAACCGTAAACCTAATGAGAATAAGGAACCATAATCTTATTGAATATAAGATTCTTCGATATTTCAGAAATTACGAGTTTGTTTACTAACGGAGATATTTTCTAGTTTTCTAGAAAATTGGAAAATTGGAAAAAGGAAAACATGTCTGAAAAATTACCAAATCATTGGAGAAAGGAAAAGAGGAAAATGCATTTACCAAATCATTTTCCAAAGCAAAAAATAGAGACATGTCTCTGATGTTCTTAACGAATTACAGAAATGAGCTTCACTAGTTTTCCAAATTTGAAATACACGGATGATGTAGTGCTACGCCTAGTGGTGGACCCGGTCCAGTCTCGGTCGGGTTGACGAGCAGGCGATCCCGGTCCGGTTCGGTCCGGTCGATGACGGGGCGGTTCGGTCCGGTCGACGACGCGGCTGTCCCTTGTTGTCCCTTGTCCCGATCTGGTCCCTGTTTTTAAAATCATTTTTTCAAATTGAAGATTTCGAAAGAGCTGTTGGGTTGCCAATCTATAGGGAAAAAGGAAAAGAATTAGTCGAACTAGTCGTTGGGACCGGCTGGTTTCTGCCCCAACTTTCCTATACCCAGGACCGGGTACCCTATATGGGCTGTACCAGGTCCGGTTCCGGACAAGGACCTTACTTTTGGTCTTCTGGCCGGTCCCAGAACCGGGCAAAAAAATTTGCCGCATGTTTTCATATTTGAAAAAATGGAAAACTGAAAATGAAAGCAGAAAATTGGAGAACAAAAAATCGGAAATTCAAAAGAGAAAATTGGAGAGCGGGAAATAGAAAAGAAAAATGGAAAATATCTGTTAATAAATGGGCCCTACTATTTTCTATAACGATAAATTTATTTAAAGCAATATCTACTTTTTATATGTCTATTAAAAGGTGTGTTACTCGTATTATTCAAATGAGGGCACGTTTCAGTTTGGTAATCCTTGTTTGAGAGCTTTATTTATCCATGCATCTATCCCAAGGGAAATATGAATAGTATATAATTTCATGCCATATGTGAAACCGCAAACTTCTTAATGAGTATGCCAAAGGACCTACATAAATTATAATAATAGCTATATTCTTGCTGAATGTGTTTTTGTTCCTCTCCATCATTCTTTAAGCCGCCAATTGGAAGAGACCGTGTTGCCAAGCTGGGTGAGTGGGTGAAAAAGGAATTCAATGTGAGTGGCAATGCATGGGATTCTAGCTCTGTGGATGTAGCTGCCTCTGGTCTTGGTTGGTTTGCCATTGGACTTAAAGGAGAAGCTCGGTTAGGTGTTTGGACGTATGATGGCATTGATGTTGTTGTTCGCAACTCTTTACTTCCCTTCAGATCATGTGATTTTGAAGTAGCGGGGTTTTCAGTTTCCAAAATTGTCTCATGTGCCGATCGCACTAAAAATAAGAAAAACTCGGATGAGAAGAAGCGGAAGATGAGAGAGCCAATAGCTGAACCGGTTGCTCTGTCATCAACAGTTGTTACAGTTGATGCAGAACATCCCCCTTCCACTGAACTTCCAGGAGGTGGTAATAATGTGAGAGAGATATGATCATCCTAACCCTCTTCTAGTTGAGTCTGCCATGCTTTTTCTAAAAAATGGTAGTGTACACTATAGGAAGAGCACGCTTTGCAATTTTGGAACACGCTATTTATTGGGTTAGATTCCTTTTAGCAACTTATATGTTGATGCTTTCATTGCTTGTATTGTTTGAATTTAGTTTCTTTTCATACTTATGCTATGATGCTTTTAATAATGTTTACTAATATATAATTAAATATAATTACAGTCAAAGTTATGTGTTGTCAAACGTGAAAGTCAAAGTGGTGCAAAAATTAAAGAACGGGATAGTATTAATTTCATGTGTGATTGAGAGATCACGGAATTCAATTTGAGAGCAGCCTCTTGTAAAAAGTTGACCGGGAAAGTCTGTCCCTTATACACCTTTGTGGTGATCTCTTGGTGAGACTGTGAGAGTGTGAGACCCTTCCGTGAACCCTTTTATTGAAAACAAAAAAACAATCCAATTAGCAAGATGTGTTTTGTATATTGGTTGCACATGCATCTTAATTTATAACAACTAGCTCTTTTTATCATTCATTGAAAACTTCATACTCCCTCTATCCCTTATAATTTTGTCATATTTTCTTTATTGATTGTCCCAAAAACTTTGGCACTCTGGTGACAAGACTTTTTCCTATGAGAAACAAGAAAGATCAGAAATGATGCACATTATGGTTCATTGAGGTGCACATTTATGGTTAAGATAATGCACAGTTCAAATGTACAGAAAAAATGGAACTGATTTTAAAAAATGTCATTGCATTTTCCGGTTCATGATAGAATTGATGGATGATAGTGTACATTTCGGTTTCACGTAATGCACAATTCTCAAATATAACTCTCCGAATTCATTCTCATTTCTCTCCTTATATCATTTTCTCATTTGATCCAAATTGTGTGTTTGTCTATTAATGAGTAATTATAGAGTATGATATTTGTGAGCAATTCATAAACTAATACTCTGTCATATAGAGTAACCTTTTGTTTTAGAAAAATGCTATGGTACCCTCTAAAAAATAAGGTACAATACATGTCATGTGTAAAATTATTATTTCATCATTTATTTATATATAAATTTAAAATTACAAATGTATAAAATTGATCTTTATTTTATTTACTTTTCTTAGCGATATAGCAAGTTCGCCAACTTTAGCGGCTCAATTATTCATTCGTCCAAAAGGTTAAAGTTATTTGTTGCTTGCAATGGTTTGAGTTTTGTTTTAAGTAAGAGACTTCACAATTAGGTAGTTATTATATCAACTTGAACAATAAAAGAGGTAATTAACAAATACACAATTACACATTAAACCATACCATATAAAAATCAAATTATATAAAATATATTTGATTTTTTCAAAAGAAAGCACATAAATTAAATTAGTCACCATTTAATTTTCAAAAAAAAAATCAATATGATGAGAACAATTTGTATTGTTCAATCTACTCATGTCTATTGTATTAGCGTGTTCCTATCAAGAAGAAATTGAGAGGATGATGAATTTCCTTATGGCGGGGTTCAAGCGAAGAAGGACGTAGTGTAAATTGACTTTGTTGCGATAAGTTAAATGTCATAAAGCATGGTGGTGCTATGAGTTCTAGACATCTCTAGGGTTTCAACCTCACATTGCTTAAGAAGTTAGGTTGGAAGTTAATTTCCAACCCAGATACTATGGTTTCATGTACCCTATGAACTAAAATACTAAATAATAGGATGTACCCCATCGGAGTGTTAGCAGATGATAAATGGCCGAGTAGTTCTTTGTCATTGCTTTTCCTTCTTGACTTTTTTGGATTAATTATCAAAATAAGACTAAAAATCACCCACTTTACACTAATATGACCAAAAAGTAAACTATATTTTCATAGGACTAATTATGTGTGTCTTGGACAAATATACCCTTATAGCTATTAAAATGTTTTAAATCATAATAAAATAATAAAAAATAATAGAAATTCGTAAAAAATACTAAAAAATTAATAAAAATATTTCGATAATAATAATTTATTTATTTATTTATTTTCAAAAATAAAATAAATAAAAAATTAAAAAAAAACTCAAAAAATAAAATAAAATTCACCGCCGCCTATGCTGCCTCTACACCACCACCTCCAGTCACCAGAGGGGGAAATGCCAAGTTCATTACGAATGCCATATTTATGGCAGAATACAATGAAAATGTTGGTGATGGGGTATATGGGCCCGGACCCCATGGCCCACATACTCGGAAGAACAGAAGGTACCACGATCACCTGGTGGGACCCTCGTCGGTCAGATGACATCCATCGGCCAGAAATAAGTCTACTCAGAATACGGCCTAGGAGTCAGGAGAACCGGGTAGGGCTGGGACTTGGAACCGTAAAACCGGGAAAACCGATCCGAACCGAACCGAAATTTCCGGTCCGGTTCGGTTCCTATAATTTTAGACTTCAACTTTTTTCGGTTCGGTTCCTATAGTATTTCATCGGTTCGGTTCCGGTTCGGTTCCGGTTCCTAGCCACGAACCGAACTTCTCATACATTGCATGAGTAGTCTTCATTTCATGTGCTTCTGGGTGGAATTTTTTGATGACATTTTGTGAGCTTGTTTTTCATCAAATAATGATTATGTCCACCAAATTTGAGCTTAAAATGAAACCGGGAAGTGAGTTAAATAAATCATTGAAAAGCATTACGCCAAAATATATATAAAAACACAATATTTTTCAATATTTTATTTAACTCACTTCTCGATTGCATTTTGAGCTAAAATTTGGTATATATAATCTACATTTCATGTAGAACATGCTCACAAATTTTTATCAAAAAATTATACACGGAAGCACATCAAATGGAGGTGGCCAGACGGTGTTCCGGGCAGAAATTTTTTGTCAAACAAATTGTTTTGCATAATATACCTTATATATTATGGATCAGGCCAATCCGAGTAGTTGTTATTTTAATACTTTAGTCCACTTTTATATTTATTGTTTTTTGTAATTGTATTTGTTATTGGAGTTAAACTCAAAAAGGAATTAATGTTCTATTGATTACGTTGTTTATTACTACATACTTTTTACTTATTGTGCATTATTAGTACAAGAATATTATTTTGGGATTGAACTACCTGCTATTGGATGTGTACTTTGAAGCTATTGAACCTTTTTGCTTGACGGTTGATGCCTATTTTAAACCGAGATTTTTGTGTTTAAATTTAATGTTGCACTTGCATTTTTTTTATATTTGAACATTGAGATATCATGCATGTATAATGTAATGGTCATAATTTCATGATTTAAAATTTGATTTTTTTTGTAACTGAATGTAAAATGTGTTCATTTTAGGAGAATACTAAATTTTTATAAGGAACCGAAAAAATGTAAGAACCGAACCGAATTTAACTAGAATCGAACCGAATTTAACAACTACATTTTTAACTAGAACCGAACCGAATTTAACGTCTACGATTTTTATACGGTTCCATCGAATTTTAACAAGAACCGAACCGATCCCAGGCCTAGAACCGGGTGACCTCGTCGACCGGGTCTTCGTCGGCCATGACCTCGTCGACCGTGCCCTCATCGGCCACGAGCAGCCTCCAGAATAGGATTTTATACTTAATTATTTCTACATCTCTTGTACTCAGCCCAATAGTTGCCCTATTGTAAATGGGCCTCCCAAGCCCAAGACTTGGGAGCCCAGCCCTAATTTTTCCTATAAATACTCTCTCTGGGAGTAGTAGTTGTAGGGGTTCTGAAATTCATTAATACAGAGCAATTATACTACTTCTCTCTAGCTCTCACTTCTCTTTAGACATATAGTCTATCATTTGGTGCTTTCATTGAGAGCTAGAACAATCAGGTTAGCCTCATTCGTCGCTACCAAGCACAGCTAACTGATCATGGGAAGAACCAAGCCAAACCGCAACCTCCTCGGCAAGGCTATCCCTGAGGCCCAAGAGCATCAGGAACACGAGGAGGACGCAACGGCCGACAAGGCCGCCGAGGGAGATGTCTTCCAGGAAGCCATCGACCTTACGGGAGACCTACGCAACAAGCTTAACGGCGGCGCTCATGACGCCCGCCTCGGCCTGGACAAAAAGCGCACGGAAAAGGGGGACGCCTCGGCGCAACCGGCCTCACCTGTGGTTGACCCTCAGCTTCAGGCCGCACTCTCGGCCATCATCGCCAATCTGGCCCAGAATCCCACCGTCCTCAGCGCACTCATGCCAAGGACGGGGGAGAACACGACGCCACCTCCTCAACCCCAGTCGTTGGCCGTTAGGCTAGACAACGATGAGGGGGTGGTGCCCCAGGACACGACGTCGTCCCATTCCCACCCTGCTTCCCCTCTCCGAGCTGGACCGGCCCCAGCGCGTGGAAAGGCCTCGACCTTTAACAGGCTAGGTGACACGTGCCGTCGGCCTGCTTCGGAGAGGATGGCGGGACAGATTGGTCCGCGCGAGCCTTGCTCACCCAGGGAAAGCTTGGGGTCAGTATCCCGGACAGCGGATCGGCCCCGCCTGGACAAAGGAAACGGCAAATTGCACGAGGACGATGCCCGTCACCAGATTAACACGGCTCATGCAGCCCGTTTGCAAACTCAGGGTGCCACCATGGCCGCCAAAGACCACAGGGACGAGGTGATCGCCCAGCTCGAGCGAAGGCTCGCACACATGGAGGCCAAGCAGCTGGCCGCCACGGCCACAGGCAACTCGTCCAGGGATCCCGGCTTCAACGCCCTCCTAAACAAGGTCACTATCCTTGAGAGGGAGTTGGCCGAAGGCCGGTGAGACCCCGTCATCCAGATCAGGACGAGGACTCCCTTCACCGCCAAGGTACTATCGGCCCCCATTCCCGAGAAATACCGGGGAAACGCCATCAAGCCTTATGACGGCCGCTCCGACCCCCAGGAGCACTTCAGCCGCTACCAGAACAATATGCTGATGGTGAGCGCGTCAGATGAATACCTCTGCCGTTGGTTCCTTTCTACACTTGAAGGGCCAACATACGAGTGGTTCAACGCGCTTCCCGAAGGGAGCATAGATTCATGGCAAGACCTTGCCCAGCGCTTCCTCACTCATTTTGACGGGAGGAAACGCGCCAAGAAATACTTCACCCATCTCCTCTCCGTCAAGCAGCAGCACGACGAATCACGCTAGTCCTTCATTGACCGGTGGACGAGGGAGACCGATGAGGTTGAGGGGGGCGATGAGCGCACCCTCCTTGTTCTTTTCCAGGGCGCCCTCCGCAGCA